TTTGCAAGGCACCATAATTCTGCTTTTAAAGCTGTCTGTGCAAAATCAATATTTTAGAAGTCGACCAATCTGAAAGTTTTGTTTTGCGTCCATTTTGTAGTTGGTAAGAGGTTAGATAGTCTACTATAATAGGATGCATTATCACGGGATCAGAAGGCAGTTTTTCAAGAATATTTTTAAACAGAGTTTTAAAAACTGATCCATCCATGTCTTCAGGATAGTTTTCTTTGACTCAAATACCATCGTCTAGAAATCCTCCTGAGCTTCCAATGTGGGTTATTATTAGGCGTTTTCCTTTTCTTGGTGGGTTTCGTAGATCACAAGAAACTCCATCGATAAACGCATATTTCTTATTTTCCAAGTTTTCAACAGTGTGTCCTGCGTTGACCCACTTTTTGTCTAAATAAAATATCTTGAGAAACACCCTCCACAAACGCTTCTTTCTTACTTTGTATGGTAGTATCTTGCTAAGTTTTCGACCCAGTGTGTCCTGCATTGACCCATGTTTCGTCTAAATAAAATGTTACATGGCACATTTCATCGCCCTAATAAGAAAAGTGCCACTTTTTTGCAAAAATGGGATGTTAGAATAACGTCTAAGCCACCGTCTGACAAAATTTCAGGGTGTCAACTTAACCGGTTAATTTTAAATTGAAATAATAGAAATTTGCCTATTTCCGTCTTGACAATTGTCAAAAAGAATTTTGCCTAGTTCCACACTTTTGTTTAAAAGAGTAACCCGTGAGAATGAATTTTTTCTGTTACATTCGAAGTTATATGTGAAGAAGAACAAGTAATAATGTATTAGTTAAAAATACGGTTTTTCTTCTCTCCTGTAAAATTTTCCAAAACGGAGATAGGTATTTTTCTTATTAGGGCGACGATTTATAACTAACAAATTAATTATATTAGTACGTCTATCATATACATATCAAATAAATATTTAACCCAAATTTTTCATTATTCTAATATAATTGAAATCTCCTAATCCCAACTATTGTATATAACAAACACATAAATATAATGTTTTCTCGAGTCTATAATTATTTAATTAATTGCAGAAAAAATTCCTACCCAGGGCACCTATCCTCGACTGGTGCTTTAATCAATGCGAATGCGCATTTACTAAATGCGAATGCGTATTTGCTCAAAAGCGTGTTGTAGCTATTCTTGGTCGTTCGAATTTATATTGCGGGTGCGCATTTAACAGCGAGTGGGTTTTTGCTCTTCGCATTCAAATACGAAGGTCTAACTGGATGCACGTTTTAATATTGCAAAGTGTTTTTGTTTTGTTTTATAAATTGATCGTGACCTATAGGTATAATGACAAATATAATTTTGTTAAATATCTTATTACGAATTAGAAGAGGCCAGTAATCATCCTCGAAGAGTTTATGATAATAGAAAAGATCCTGTCAGACTTTCTGATCAAGCGTTCATCATCAGATTGTTTCGGTTAATTATATGTGTCTTTTTACTAATATTTTCCATTTTATAACGCTGCAAGCTATATATAGCCAAACAGTACATCAAAAAACAACCCAAACCACGACTTCATGCTCAAAACCATTTACTCATATTAATATTGCTTCTTTTTTACGAATAATTGTCACAAAACAAGCGGTGTGAACGTTGACTCCCCTTTCTAGCAGACAATTTAACATAAATAATCGTCGATCATACATGGTTGCCAAGTTGCCATTCGCATTTATAAATGAGGATTACGAAGGCACAGATACGAAGGGTTAAGAATACGGTTTCTAATGCGTCTTCGCATTGAACCACTCGCATCTCTTCAAAGCGAGCGCTTAAACACACTACTCGAGGATAGGTGCCCAGGTGGGATTGGAATCTGGGACCCTTGGGTCTGAAAGCACATATTCTAACCACTGAGCCACTGACAATTAAATAACGAGACCGCGTATGAAAAAGTTTTACTTTAAAAATTCAACCATCGAATGATCTTCTTTAATGTACTCCCCTCTCCTCGCCACACACGGTTCCATTCGTTTTTTCCATTGGTCAAAGCAATGCTGGAAGTCTTCTTTTGTAAGAGCATTTGGGAGCCCCGTCGATTTTCGCTTCATTTCTTCTATCGACTCGAACCGGGTTCCTTTTGACATATTAGCTCCTCGGAAACAGGAAAAAGTCACAAAGTACTAAATCACTCAAGTACGGCGCGTGTTCGGCACTGGAGTGCCTCTAACGGCTAAATAACGCCAGACAGCGCGTTATGGGCAGGTGCGTTGTCCTGTTGCAAGATCCACAACTTGTTTTTCCACAACTCCGGCCGTTTCTTACGAACTAGCTCTCTTAGTTTTGCTAAAACTTTCAAATAGTAAGTTTGGTTAACGGTTTGACCTTCTGGAATCCATTCAGTCGTCACGATGCCGTTAATGCCGAAAAAAAAAAGATTAGCATTGCTTTCAATTTTGATTTCGACATTCGCCCTTCATAAAACAGTTTATACCATTCTAAAACACCCGTACGAGATAGAGAATTCTCACCATAGGCCTTTTTCAACAACTTATAGCACTCAGTCGGAGTTTTTTTTAATTTAACGATAAAGTTTACGTTGATCTGTTGCTCGTGTTTTTTGTTATTGGCACGAGATAAAAACACGTTCGTTTCTAACTTCTAGAGAAAAAATAATATTACTCCGACAAAAACGTGTTTTCGTAATGGAATAGTAAACACTTTCAGCTATCCAACGCTGCATTCGTTTCCCCCTTACCCCTCTGGGACGCCTTTTGTACGCACAGTCTCGTTATGTAATTGCCAGACCCCGTATCCACCTTTCATATTATTCAACAATTTCGAATTACTCATGCGCAAAAAAAGCGCAGAAATTTTGAATCCTCGCCCGAGAATAACAACCGCAGAGAAGCGACAATAACTGTTGGTCCTTTGAAGTTCGAAGAGTAAAATTATGTGACCTTGAATTTGACTTATGAGACGGATGGCCGATATAATACACCGAGAAAAAAATTAATGGAGCGTAATGCTGTACAACAAAGAAACAAATATATTGAAAATGAATCTAATAAAATATCAGGTTTTATTACAGTAGTTTCTGTCATGTTAAAACTTTTAATATGATTTTTCCAAAAATAAAAACATGCTAATAGACCTTTTCCGTTATTAATGACATCTATTACTCATGCGCAAATCGTACTTCCTCTTAAAATTCAAAATTTATTGTTATATTTCCTACTCTCGAGTTCCAATTACACATCCGTAAATGTTATTTTTTACTTTTATTATTGGTAGGGGAGCCAGTGACACTTTTAGGTGTGTTATTTGTAGAACATGGAAACACTTTGCTAGTCCCTACAGCGATGGAGTCTTCGACAAAGACATTTTAAAAAGCCTGTTTAGATAATACATTGTGCAAATATGTACCAAAAAAGTGTTACTGGCTTCTCTAGTATATAGACTAGATGACAGTTGTTTAAAGTAATGATGACAGGGGAAAATCGTCGTAGCCAACCCAACAGTTGTAAGGCGAGAATAAGAGAGAGATAAAAAAATAAGTTGCATGGAAAATTACTAGATTCAAAAGACCCGCGCTTTTTCGCGCATGAGTAATGTGAAATTGTCGAATAACGGGAAAGGTGGGTTGTTAGTTTTTTAAATAGAAAATAAAACACATTATAAAAATAAAATAAACATTTTAACTCAAACAAAACGAATCGGCAAATAGCAAGAATCACGACTAAACTAGTTAAACTGACAAGCTATGTGGCAAGCGCGTTGAAATTGAAATCACAGTTAGCCGGGTTACCCCCACTCCATTTTTTTTGTAGTAACGGCTTTGTCGCTTCTCTGTGGTTGTTCTTCTCAACTGTCATCAATTCTATATAGTAGGGAGCCAGTGCAACTTTTTTGGTACACATTTGCACAAGGCTAAATTATAAATTGGTCGTTAATTCTTACTCTGTAGAAGACGGAAATGCTTTGCTGCAATCGATCTAGCAGTGAAGTTCCCTGTCAGCAAGCAAGAAGGTAGTGTGAGTTGAATTTCAAGAAAGTTGTAGCAAACTTTTTTCTATTAACTTTTAATGTAAACAATATCTGAAAGTTTTCTGAAAGCTTCTGTATGGCAGCATTTTCTACACAGGTTATTTTAAAACGTCATCGTTGAGGGCTCCATTACTGCACAACAAACTATTGCCATGTTCTACAAGGTAATATGCTGAACAAAATATTTGTAATTTTACCTTTCGTAAATAAGATACCTAAAAGTGTTACTGGCTCCCCTACCAATACTATCAAACGCAAAAACAATTACATTTGCAGATGTGTAACTGGAACTCAGGGAAGGAAACATAACAATAATAAAATTTTGATGATTACAGAAGAATTACAAATCAGTATTGGAGGAGGATAAAGAGAAAACAACATGTCTACCTCATAAATATGTACTATGTTTTGTGTATTAAATTACTGCACTCCTTTTATCTCTTGACTATATAGTTCAAGTCAGATTATCCAAACCAGATGCGAAAGTTGACAAAGAATATAAAAAAAGAGATGGTTATGAATAGGTTGGCTGAAGGCGGCGTAGACTGGTAACATGTATTGTATCCAATTGCATAAAAATCTTTTTCGAAAAATGAAGTTTCTTATCTTTAAAACACCAGAATACGACGTTATCCTCAAAAAATATCTAAAGTACAATTATTATTTTTTGTAGCTTTTTTTGGACTAGACATATTCATGCGAACTTCTCATGCGGACGGTATTTATTGAACCCTCATTTATAAATAAAACTAATGTAATGAATTTAATATATTTTCAAAGTTGTAATATACAGATCGGCACGAATAGCATAAGTCGCGAGATGCAGCAACATTAGACCCGAAGCAGAGAACGATCGCCTCAAAAAGTGGATTCAAGTAACCTCTCCACACATATATTTACTGTGCATAAGACAGTGGCGACTTCAGGCATTTCTGTCGATCTGTAGGTATAATCAAATTAAATATTTAAAAACTTACCCTCTCAAACCACATCACTTTAGCGGGTCCCTTAACTTGATACTGTTCATGTTCTAAGGATCTAAGAATTGGTCTGGCTATACATAACCAAGGCAATTGTTTTCGTGACTGGGGGACAATATAATGTAGAAGAAACCCCAAGGTGGCACCTATAGACCATAAAACCGGACTGAGTTCCGGTTGTAAAACCGTGAAAACAGTGCTGGCATGAATCGAAAAAACTAAAGCTCCGATCAAACTACAGATAATAATATCATGTTTTAGACGGGCTTTATTAATTTTTTGAAGTTTGGAAGGCAAATAATCGGCATTATCGTTTTCAGGATATTTTTCCTGGTTATCAGGAAACTTTACAGTCTTAATTTTGGTTTCTGGAACTGCGAAATCTTGCTTGTAATTAGTCTTCTCGGATTTCTCCTATAAAATATAAACAAAATATGCATGTTTAAAAATGTGTCATTTTTTTTTTTTTTTTTTTTTTAATTGGACACCGTTTCAATAGTAAACAGTACAGTTGCGTCACAGCCATATGCACGAAAATGTCATAGCGAGCACAACATTGTAAGTTAGATTGCGGAATTTTAAATCAGTGGGGTGTAGATTTCAAATTTAAGCGTGAACACAAAGTTAGTTTGTAAAAACAAAGGGTTTATTTTTTTATATTTAATAAATACATGTTTAAATACAACCTACAGTATATATAGAAATTATAACACAAGTCTCCTATCAAAAATTAAACGAATTAATAACTTTTCCAATCGCAGACAAATTCTCTAAAACGAGCGTTACAAGCTTAACCAATGCGAAGTCTAACCAATATAATTATTCCAACTATGAGGGTCACTCAAGCCCCCAGCAAGCGAGGCTATAAATAGAAGTGAGGCAATAATAATTACTTGTATTACATTATAACAACACGTTGCTGAAAGCAGGCATTTCATATTTTAAGTTCTCCCACTCACTCATACTCTTGTTATACTGAAACGTTAAGTTATAAATTTTACTAATACCACATACTGAATAGATGTCAAGCGATATTATTTGTTAAGTTTATGTTTAATAAGTGTTTTAAATTGTCCTTTGTGAAGTAATTGAATGGTTGGAAATCAAAAACAATTGAAATATATCTTTCAAGAAAACAATAATTAAAAATGGAGAATTAACAGCCGGTTGCAAGAACGCCTTTTAATCTCTCAATAGCCATTGATCCTATAATTATATTAAACTAGAGTACTTTGAAGTTCATGTCATTCAGACAGATCACATTCTCAAGCTCCATCAAAATTTATCGGGTTCACAAATTTTAATGGTGCAAGTAGACCACAGGGCTAAATGAGTTCATCAACAGTAAGAACACTGGAACTTGAAGAAGGAATTTTACATAAAATTGAGGAGAACCCCGAAACTAGCACGAGGAAAATCGCGGCAACATTTAATGTTTCACATGTACTTGTTTGGAAAATTCTCTTCGAAAATTTGTTATACCCATATCACATTCAAGAAGTCCAGGCATTACTACCTAGAGATTTCTTCAAAACCTGCTAAAAATCCGTTATTTGACAGGCACATTCTTTTTACCGATGAAGCTAATAATAAAATTCCATAATAACCATTTATGGGTGGTTGGAAAAAAATGTTAAATCAAATCATTAAGAACAGTTCTTATTTGATGTTTGGGCTGGCATTATTGATGATTATTTGAAAGGACCATTTTTTCTCCCAAGAAGACTAGCTGGACAATCATATTTACACTTCTTAAAGAAGATTTGTCGCCAATGCTTGAAGACCTTCCTCTTTTAGTAAAAAACCAGAAGTGGTTAATGCACGATGGTGCGCCTCACGGAGGAATACAGTCATATCTGCCTAGATCTCCCGGCCTTAATAGTGCACCTATGTAAGAGTGTCGCGAGGGTACGTGCGCGAGAGCTACGTGTGGTACGCGGAAGACAATCGAAGCGGGCAGTCTCGTCTGAACTGCGAAGCAGTGAAGGTTCAGCGTGACAGCAATAGACGTTATCCTTTTCCTTGTTTGTAAAATTAGTTTTTTTTTATTGTCCTAATTGGCAATATAATAGTTGTATACTCAGTTGTGTCCTTTCAAACCTCAGACCCCATCTAAAACATCGAACCACTTCAATCTAAAAAGCTTAGTGTACGCAGTGTCGATTCAAAGCGAAGAAGAGTTAAGAGATCGTATAATAGTATGCTGCCAAACAAAAAGAAACACCCCACGAATATTTCAAAATATGCGTCAGTCTATGCAAAGAAGAGTAGATACGGATGGGTGGCGGACACTTCCAATAATAACTGTAAATAATTTTAAATTTAATTTAAAAAAAATAAGAGGAGTACAGTTTTTTTCTATCCAAACATTTAATATCATGCCTACGTGGACGTCACTGGTGGAAATAAAAAATTAATTTTTGCCCCAAAAAGTTTTTCCACGCATGGTGAGTGCCTACCAAATTTTAACAAAATATCAAAAGCAGTTTCAATGAACTTAAGAAAAAACATTTTTTTGGATTTTTTTTTTTTACGCGAAACGTTGCGTATGAAAGTAAGTCTATAGACCAAATTTGCTCCAAAATAAATGATGATTTCAAAAATAATTTTGGTTTTTAGAAACTAACAGTAGCGTACTATTTTTTTTTTTCTTTAAAAATATTCAGTTCAACCCCCGTACGGACGACACTGGTAAAAATTACAAAAATATATTTTACGTCAAAAAATACCCCTTTATGATTAAAAGGTGTGTACAAAATTTCATAAAAATATCTGGAGTATTAAGAAAATTATAAAAAATTAATTTTTTTCTTAAAATTGTAACTCGAAATTGTAGCTCAAAAATTAAGAGGTTTACGACATATGTTGATATTAACTTGTCTTCTTAAAATCACCCAATGATTCGCACCCTTAAGTATCGGCACTCAATTAATAAGCACCCTGTACGTATATCTAACAATTTTACTCCTAATAAAACAACTATTCTTCGTAACAGTACTATTCACATCTCTTTTCAGATATTTTTTGTTTTATTACTTTGTGTACGTTATTTTATTGAAAATGATTGAGCCCACAGATATAGAGGAGATGAAAATGGCTATAATCCAGGATGTTTTAAAATAATAATTTCAGTACACCCCTTAAAATAAATTTTAAAGGACCAGATAAAAGAAAAAACATTAATATGAAATAAATGATAATAATTCAATTACTGTTGCTAGTTTTATTTTTATTAAAAATATGTTTTTATATCGTATCATGATATTTGTGTATATTTTTTAACATACCTTTTAACACAAACATGATAAATACAAATCCAATGCATACAATCCTAAGGTGTCAATAGCCGTGATGGATTCAAGACTGTAGTCCCTATAGTAAACCGTTCTATTGACATTTCCCATTTCCTCTCCTCTATATCTGTGAGTGAACCAATTATTATAACAGAACTTTCGAAACAATTGACTTCTCCTTACATTAACAATACTTTTTTCTTCATATTTCTTTTTAGTGGGGCTCCTTTGACTTTTTCGTTCTTGTTCTTTATAGACATCAGGTAGCCACAAGTAATTCTTCAGCATCTTCCAAATAAAAATTGGATCACTTGTACTTCTACTGAGATGATATGAAGAGGATACCAAAGATGCGCAACACACAGAGAATGAAATGTGTTGCGCTCCTTTACTCTCACTTAAGCCACAGTAAGCAATGCCTCCAAGTATTATTGTAGCTAAACACGAACGAAAAATGCAATAGAATGATGCTAATAAACTCGACATTGCATTTCCGCCAAACAAGTGCATATCAATTTGTTCAAGAAGATACATTAGAAATGTATTAATTTGTGGAAACAAACCTAAAGAAAAAAGTAGTGGAAAAACTAAAATAAAATTAATTATAAAATCACAAGATAGCAAAAGAAGTTGCTGGTTTGAAAAATTAAAAGAACTATTATATCTAAGCTCCTTTGTTTCCTTTAAAAGATATGAATCCATAATTATAACTATAAAAGAAAAAAGGCAAAAATAAATAGGTCTGGAATAGGCTATAATCCTATTAAAACCGTGAGTAGGAGAAGCAGCATCCGGCTGAACACTTTTTATTAAGGAGTACTGACAGCTTGCGATCACAAAACAGAGCAAAAAGGCCAACAAATCCCTATAAAATCCTTTATACAACATAATAGCGCCAAAGATTCCAACCAAACTTCCAATAATTATGGACAGTATTGTCTCCGTAAAAGATAGATTCCTATCCAATAGAGCTAAAAGTTTCAATCTGTCCGTACTAACTTTAATATAAGTCCAAGGCCACAATTTAAAAACATAATAAGTTTTCGTCCGTTTATAATTATTGTCAGTAGAATCTGATTTTATACACTTAAATTTCGATTCACTGTGTACGTCTACTAATAATCTATCATGCTCAAATGTATGTTTAAAACGATTAAGTTGCTCAGAAGTATCAGAAGAATTAATTGGATGCTTTGATTTTTGTAAAGATGCCGAACTAATACAAATCGATTCATTGCTATCCCAAATATCAATGGTCGGCCTTTGAATTACTGAAGAATAAATATTAGGTGTATCGCTTTTTCGAGAACGAAGAGAATATTTTTGAAGTGGGAGATCAGGTTGTGATAAATTGCTTACTCCACTCCCTTCACATTGGTTATTTGTACCTAAAAAAAATGATTTGTTATAAAAAAATATCGATAATTGCATGAAACATGAAATATATTGTTAAAAAATAGTTAACAACAAATTGACCTCATCCACTTATTCAACTATTTATAATTGCTATTTCAAGAATTTTGTTCATTTAAAATTTAAATTATATCACGAAACAATAAACCATAACTTTTTTTTAAATTTTAAAGAATACTTTGATAATGACATAAGCGCAGATATATGCATAATTAAAAATGTTGACTTTTTACTTTACACACTTAACAACTAATTATATTACTCTGTCTAAACTGACGCATAAATAACCAGTTATTTTATTTTTATTTATTAAATAAATACAAAAAAAACTTGTCTGATTCAAATTACAATAAAATATGCACCTAGGAGCATACACCTGTTTAGCAGGGGCAGAAGTTGGAAAGGCTTTTCTCAGTTCTCCCCCTTCATAAACAGCATCTTGAAATATATTCCTACATATAAATACTTAAAGATAGAAACCTCAATTCAGAGGAAAAGTAAAACTGGGCAATAGTGATTTTTCGAAGACGGTGACACAAGATTTATATAACTTGAAATTTAGTTATACAAAGTCCTAACACATAAAAATACATAGTCATTACTGAATCTATTTTCTAGCCTATAAAAGATAAATCTGGCAACGCGGCGATTAAGTAAATTTTCGGTACATTGCAGTAATGTTTAGTAGGCATTAGAGGCATAACAAGTTGTTGTTTTGTCGGCGATCTTCTTTTTTTTTGTCGACGATCTTCTTTTTTTTTGTCGAAAAACGTTTAGATTAAGTGAAATTAAAAGTTTTTCTTTAATTAGTTGTTAAAAGCATGTATCAACATAGAGCTGAAAGTATATGAATTTCTTTGTGATAAACTGTGTAATCTTGCCGAAATAAAGTGGTTTTTGTTATTACACCTGTAGTTCTCGTGTTGGATATCTCCCCATGGTGTTTTAACCTGCCTTTTAATCATTAAATTAAGGGTTAAAAATGTCTGTGGCCTGTTGTAGATCTTTACATGGTAGTTAATAACTTTAATAATTATGCCCAGTACCTGCTGTATTAATGGCTGTTAGTACAATTATAATAGTGTTTTAAAACAAGAACAGGATGGAAAGCTAAAATCCGTTTTTCGATTTCCGAAGGACGATAATTTAAGACAAAAATGGTCAAACGCGATTCCTAGGGCTAATTTTATTCCTTCAAGTTTGTTGTAAACACATTCCTGAAAGTAAAATTATACGGGAAGATATTTGCAACCCGATGGAAATTCTTCAAAATTCTTAAAAAAAGCCGATGTAGAAAATGCCAATAGAAAAAAGTTTTTGCCATCTTGCTAGTGGTCGAAAACCTTCAAGTTTCGAAAATAAAATTGTTGTATATAAGACTCATTTTTTTATGTGAGAATATTATTTATTAATAAAAATAATTTGTCGCAATCGGTCTGGTGGTGGACTGCCCTGGCAGCAAGCAAGAACGTATTGTCGGAGAATTATTAGAAGGTAGCAGCAAATTTTTCTATTAACGTTTGATGTAAATAATATCTGAAAGTTTCAAGCTTTCGCCTCTGACAGCATTTTCTACACAGGCTTTTTTAAAGACGTCCTCGTCTAGGGCTCCATCGCGGCTGCGACTGCAGCAAAGTATTTCCATGTTCTAAAATGTAAAAATAAACGAAATATTTGTAATTTTGCCTTTCACAAAATAAATAACACACCTAAAAGAGTCACTGGTTCCCCTGCCAATAATATTCACTATGAAATGCAAAAACAAAATGACATTTGCGAATATATAATTTGAACTCAGGGTAGGAAACAACAGCAACAAATTTTGATTATTTTTAAAAGACGTAGGATTAGTGCACGAGTAGTAGAGATGATTAATAATGGAATAGGTCTATTGATGTATGCGAAGATGGTTTCAGATGATTAAAATGCCGAAAGTTATATACTAAGAAAAATACATGGAAATAAAAAGAAAAAAGGTATGAAAGAGAGAAAAACGTAAGTATCTGTATATTATTTAACCTTAATTCTTTATTTAAAGTACCTGTGATAGGCTGCGGGCCCCTAAGAGTGAAAATTTCACAAATTAGGGACTAAATCCAATCCTTGATTGATGCATTTCTATATAGATCAACTCAATTTCTTGAAACAAAACTTTTGGTAAAATTCACAAAAGCGTTGACTCACGAATTTTTAACGAAAGCTCTCAGAAGAACACAATGGCAGATTCCCTTTTGATCAAACCCTACTAATTATTAATTATTTTTTATTTTGTCTTTACTTTATAAGTTGCAATGCATGAAAAGAGATTACCGTATTCAAATCGACTGATGACAAAACCAATTTAACAATTTAGATAAATTTTGGAATTATTTTATTCCTAAGATACTTATGTTCTCTTTCTATATAGATAAAATCTACATGAATTCTCAAATTTTAAATAGTGAGGAAATTTTAATGAAGGTAAAAAATAAAAATAGGACTAGATATATCATAAGTAGTATTTATTTTAGGTCTGCAGTAAATATTAAGCTATTCCTAAATAAATCCTATTAAATCTTCCAAAATTAGTTTTATCCTGTAACACGAAAATCCGAGATTTCAGATTTTCCTAATTTGAATACGGTTTTGGTTTTGTGAGTTTTTCACACACTTCAATAGGAAACGTTTAACCATTTAACTGAATCAGTATATCTAACCATTTATGAGATTCCTATGTCCTGCATCCTTTTATAGGACACGTTGTATATATAAATTATTTTTCAAAAACTTTGGTTTACACAACTCCGTGGAATTTACCTAAACAACTGATACTGCTAACACTAATTTATGAATGTACAGTTTATTTGAAAACGAATGATAGCAACATTTTCATGACCCAGGAGATAGACCCCAATATAACATCATAAATCAGTGACGGAGAATTTCTAAAATAAAATGTTAAGCATTATTTGTAAAAAAATAATCTTTGGTTTTTTTCTTAAAATTTTTAAAAATACCAAATTATTTCAATTCTTGTCTTAAATTTTCTAGTCATTTTAATCAACAAAAATAAGGTAAGTATGTAATCTCTACAGGTAGAGAATATTTACAATTCAAGCTCAATTTAAGTAGTCTTTAAAAAGGATTAAAACATCTAATCGGTAGAAAGTATAATGAAGATTGTAAATTATTTTAGTTAAGATTTACATTTATGTTTGTATAGTCCTGTGATTGTAACACACAGAATTGTTAGTTTTGTAATAATAGGCGATAAAAAGAGATATTGATCAAGTGTAATAAAAATGGTACAAACGTCTAATTATACTTCTGTGAAATTGAAGTTCAATTTAACCGTACATTTGAAAACTTTAGTGTTAAATGTACATGAAGCTCTTGCACATGAACATTTCAATGGTACTTTCTGAGTATAGTTTCTGAGTGTTCAAATATGACCGGAGTTGGAGAAGCAACAATTTATAGGCTTTTGAAGCAGTGGAAGGATGGAAGTATTATAGTAGCAACTAAAACGACAACTGGGAGAAAACCCATTCAAATAAACGGTACTATCAAACAACTGATTCGAAGAAAAGTTCAATCGTTTCATTTACAAAAAAAGATACCAAATTTGGATAACCTTTTAGTAGACATTAACGGAGACGAAACTTTACCAAACGTCAAAAGAGACAAATTGTGGGAAACTTTAAATGAATTAGACTTCGTTTGGGAGAATAACGATAAAAAATCTGTACTCATAAAGAAAGATGAAATTATTTGTAGGAGGAAGCAATATTTAAAGGAAATTAGAAAATTAAGAAGATAAGACAAAAATATTTGTTTGGATGAAACATGGATAAATCAAGGACATTTTGTAAAAAAAGTTTGGCACGATAAACAGGTTACAAATGCTCGTCAGGCATTTACAGAAGGTTTGTCTATTGGCTTAAAATTTCAAAATGGTAAAGGTCGCCGTTTAATTATCACTCATATTGGAGGAGATAAAGGATTTGTTGGTAGAGGCAGGTTAGAATTTTTTCAAATTCTACGAAAGACTAACATGAAGAAATGACTGCTGATGTTTTTGAGGAATATTTCAGTCAAATGATAGATTTATTACCGACCAATTCTGTAATAGTTATGGACAATGTCAGTTACCATTCAAGATTAAAGGAACCGTTACCTAACACTAAATGGAAAAAGCAATAACTCTCCGATTGGCTAATAACCAAAGAAATAGTGCCAGAAGAGGGATTACTCAAAAAAGAGCTAATGCAGTTATGTAAACAACATTCGCCAAAATTTAAGAAGTATAGTGTAGATGAAATAGCAAAAGAACATAGAGTTAAAGTGTTGCGGTTACCACCTTATCACTGTAAACTTTTAACCCCATTGAACTAATCTGGTCTCAAATGAAGGGATATGTCGCGAGAAACAATACAACATTTAAACTTCAAGATGTTCGTCAACTATTATGTGACTCAATATCAAAAATTTCACCGGACAATTGGCAAAACGATATAAGACATGTCATAGCAGAGGAAGCGAAATTCTAGAAACTTGATATGTTAATAGTGGAAACAATACAACCAATTATTATTTCTGTGGGAAGTGAGGAAACTGATGATGATGATAACCCCTTATTGAAAAAAAATAAATTATTGATTTAGGTATGTAACTCTATATTTCAAAGACATTACAACTAAGAGACCAAATTCGTTTACATTTTTATGTGGCAAATCATTATTCCCACCTTCTCGTTTATTGCGTCTTTGCCGGTTTTATCAGCCTGTAAAAATTATTTGGAGAAATTACTTTCGAAAAATAAAATTTGATGTATTCTATAAGTATAATTTTATATTCTATAAGTATAATTTTATATTATATAAATAAAAATATGTTTTTAATCAAATAATTCTTTAAAGTTTTAATAAAGGCTAAATTTTTTATTAAAAATCAATATTAATCTAAACAAAATATTAGGGTTGCAAAGAACTTCGTAAATACGGCAACGCTGAATATCTCATTTTACGAATTTACAACTTTTATGAATGAAATGTTATACCGTAACCAGCCGCAACATTGCCAATCGGGTCTAACAGCTATTTTGTATTTCTGACAATTTCTGTGTGACTTATTGATTTATTCATTTATAAAATACTATTTTTGTGTACTTTTGTGAGAAATATAAAGAATTATGAGACAGGCCAAGATACTTCTGGGTGAATATAACCAGAAAAGATCGGAAGCCTGCATCAGCCTGAGCAAGAACAGGCTACGTATTGTAACAGGGATCCTTACCGGGCACTGCCGACTAAAAGGACACCTAAGTAAACTGAAAGTAGTAGATAGTGAGTGCAGATTCTGTGAGGAGGAGGAGGACGAAACCTCCATTCACATCCTAACTAAATGTGTAGCACTCCAGAATCTAAGGGCACTATATCTAGGAGGATATCAAATAGAAGAGGGAGATTTACCTAACTTGAAGCCACTTCAAATCCTACACTTCCTTGAGAAAATAGGATTGGAAGGGTCGTTATAGGCATTGAGACATTTCCTTGGTGCATTGGCGACAGAAGGGAGAACAATAGATCTTGTAGGTCGCAGTCTATTAATACCCGTCTCCCAGCATAACATAACCAGGCAAATATATAGTAAATGCCAATAAACTATAAACCAATAAATATTAAAAATCGGAAGGTAACTTGGAATTTTCTTATATTTGAATTTACCTACATGAAAAAATCATCATAATTATAAAACTAAAAAAATATACCTACTTATTTACGTATTTTTTTAACATACTACTCTGACAATACTGGTAAGTTTAAAACTCTACGCCACTGGCGAGCACATTATGGACACTGTTTACAACGTTGCCAGCCGGTCCTAAGAGATCTGTCTTTCTCTCTTTCACTCACTAACAATTTTAAAACAATAACAGTCCGCAATTGTATGGGATTTATGAATGAAACCTTTTGTCTCTATGTTGTAATGTCTTTGCTATATTTATATTAATTATAATAAGTTTATATGACGCTAGTACCTGAAATCCAAACAAACAAATTTCTATGGAATCACCCCGTATTTCTAAAAACGAAATATGAGTGTTTTATTAGAAAATATTTTTTTTGTAAAGAGTTTTTTAGTATATCATAAATTTGGTTGTGTGTATATTTATCATTAAATTTTAAGGAAATATCCTAACCTAATATCTAGTATACTATTTTTATAAAAATAAATGTGGGTACTTAATATTGACAGTTTACTATTTTTTATATTAAAGTAATTTCGTGTTCCCCGTCACTGAGATATAGAATTATTGGTTAGTCCCTTAGGGTTTGCTCATTTACATTTTATAATGTATTGTATTCCAGGTTTTTCGGGGTGGTCATACTAAAAGTAAAAATTCAAATAACGTATCAATATTTACTTTTTTTCTTCTTTGAACAATCCGGTATATTTATTATAGACCTTTGCCATAAAAACTGTACTATCATGCATTTTCAAATGAACTATAGTAGTTAGTAGTAATAGTTTTCGCGATAGTAGTCCTGATAAAGTTTTAATGCTTACCCACAACGTCTTCTTCATTCGGTAATATATAACCCAACTCGTCTATACCACGATGACTGCAACTATTAGTTGGATCATTAAGCTTCTTGACATTGCACATACCACATTCAGCAGATGCTGATTCGGAAAAATTTTCTTTTTTGTTAACTTGAATCGATCTGTAAATATTTTATCCATATTTATCCATGATCTCATAATACATTTATAAAAGGTATTACAAATAATAACTGATAACATAACCATAATAACAGTATTTATAAATATAATCATTTCAGATATTTCATAAATGTCATTATTTGAGTTTAATTCTTCGTTTATAAAATGATGACTTTTGTTGGCTGCATTAAAAACTTAACATAAACTTTATTAATCCTTTTGGACATTTATAAAATGTATATTTCATTACATTTTAAACATAAAACAAAACATGTAGGTAAATAAAAATAAATAGTACATAACTGGTCTAGTCTAGCTTAAATTATCAGAGAGATACTCATTAATACTACATTAAACTCCACGCAAAACTAAACTTTTCAATTTATTTTTATAGTAATTTTCAGACAATTTATGAAAACCGAGTGGTAAGTGATTATACAACTTCAGACCTTGATACGTAGCACATATTTCAAATTTGTATCCTGTGTTTTGGAATACACAACTGCAAACAATAAGATGAGACCATCGAGCATATCCTCTACAATTGCCCGATGCTTTCTTTTATTAGAAGATTTGTGTTCGATGAGTATTGGCTAACACCAGCCGATATAAGAGAAACACCTATCGGCGACGTCAACTACATTAAACCTTTAGGCGTGCTGACGAGCCTATCAATTTAGAAGGATGCACAATGGTCCTAGTGAGGCCTTAGTGTCGTGGGGTAACCCACCCGCCACACGATAGATGGCTTGAAGGATTGTCTTTGGCGAATGTTAAATATATACTAAATAATCCGTTTTTGAGATATAAAAATTCTGTTAAAATCAGTAGCATTTCCAAACAGTATGACATTATAAAACATCTATGTGGTGGTTCCCCTTGAGTAGTCTAGATAAATTCCTAAGAATTAACCACACTTCGTAGAAACAATATTGACTGAATTGTATTTTAGGACTAAAACATTCTCCGCTGCATTATTAAGGACCGATTCCACCGTTGTGTTAAACGAAGTTTAAAATTACATTTTTACATTAACAATGTCATTTTAATCTCCGTTTAACACAACGGTGGAATCGGTCCTAAGAGTACGACAATAAATTAATTCGGTTTTTTTCAATATTAAAAATTAAGGCATTGGCATACACCATTTTATGAAAGAAGATACTGCCCTAGTTGACTGCAACACTAGTTCCTCAAAGGTTTGCTGAAACCACCAAGGATGTCCTATCAGCAAATAGATACATAACATTTGAATGCATATAAGTAGGTAGATCATTGATATAAAGCAAGAAAATTAATGTTCCCATCGCAGACCCTTGAGGAACGCCTATATTCAATTATGTAAATCAGAGCTAAAATCATTAATATTGACGTATATTTTCCTATCGTTAATCATATAATTCAAGCATAGCTATCTGAATCAGAGGTTATACAAATTTATTTTCTAGAAATTTAAAATTTAAACAGTCGAAAGCACAAGATAAGTCAAAAAGTATGCCTGCTACGTGCTTTCCTGCATCTAAATAGGTATATGCACGATCCAGGAAGCTGCAGGCGGTGGATTGTGTAAAGTGTTCCTTACAAAATCTGTTTGCATTAAACTGATTTAAGTAATTTAGCATTCCATCAAATAATTACAAAAAAACACTTAATATAGAAAATCGATATCTTGCAGATCATATTTTTTTGTATATAAGTAAAATTTTGGCAATTTTTAAGCTGGATGGATACTCTCAGCAATAGATCGATTTAATAGATATTCAAGGTGAACTGCAATAGATTCAGCAATGGTCTTTAAAATTTTTACTGAGACATTATCAACACCACAGCTTCTGGTATTTTTGACTAAGACAATGGATGCTATTATTTAATCTTTGGCTTTCAACTTGTGGTCAGCAAACATGCATGGGGTTATTCCTTGGACAAGAATATTTTATTTGATGATTTGTGAAAATCCTCTTTGTTTCGAAGATACAGAGTAAATTAAATTTGCTACAATCAATGATGAGAAAATTGAATTCTTTTATCCAAGCTGGAGTAATTCATTTTGAATATTTATTGTAGATTAAGCAACTTTACATGTACTTTTTGATATTAAAATGTGGTTACTGTCGAAATTTTGTTCACCCTGCATCTTCGAAACAAAGAAAGTTTTCACAAATCATCGAATAAAAAATATTTTTAAAATAGTCCAAAGAATAACCCCTTGCACTTTTGCCGCTTGTTTACCAAACACCCTCTATATAGGGTCATCATAAAGAACAGGGTATAAAGTTTTATATAATTTTGAGAAATTAAGTTGGTGCCAAAAAGTAAATGGAATCTAGTTACTTTAATATTTGGATTTTTGTATATCTATGGGAAACAAGAGTTGTCGTTTTAACTGCTGATACAAGTGTCAAACATAATCATCGCGATTTAGAGAATTGTTTAAGGAGGTCCTTTCGCCACACCTCTCGCCTCAAATGTTAAAAAAAAAGTTATTAGATTATGACTAAAATTAATTTTTTTCTAATAGTTGAAGTCCTTATTCATCTAATACTGAACTTTTAACTATACCTTACCTTGCAAAATTTTGAGAATTTTTTTTTTTTTAATGTGAGTATTTGTACAGTGCCTCACGATAAAGTAAGTCCTCAACAGCAATTCTCGAATTATACTATTATTTATTGATTAGATGGAGTAGAAAAAAACTAAAAATAAGGTTTTTGAAATATTTAGATTTTGTTTTATACAATAAAATATATATAGTAAACCGTGGAACTTATTGAGAAATTAATATTAAAAAATCACAAAAAATTTTCAAGTAACCTAGTTGAAAAACAAAACCTAAATATTTCAAAAACCTTATTTTTAGTTTTTTTCTACTCCATCTAATCAATAAATAATAGTAAAATTAATTATAATTCGAAAATTGTTGTTGAAGTCTTACTTTCTCATAAGACACTGTACAAACACACGCATTTAAAAAAAAAAATTCTCAAAAATTTGCACGGTAAGGTATAATTAAAAGTTCACTATTAGATAAATAAGGACATCTACTATTAGAAAAAAATTAATTTCAGTCATAATCTAATATTTTTTATTTAACATTGGTGGCGAAAGGACCTCCTTAAGCAAACATTTTGTAAATCTATGGCCTACGACGTCGTGCTCAAATTTCGTCTTCGTGCGATATGGCTATCATATCTACTCTTGTTGCACAAACTACTATATTGAGAACTGTCAAATGAAAGATAGTGCCTTTTTGACAATTATGAATAAGTTTTACGTTTTCAGGGAACGAAAAGGAATGATTGTTATATATATAGTATGTGATTGGCGAAGCTCGTACTTCGAGTCTCCTACCAGATTGACACCTAGATATGGATAACATTCTTATTCTCAACTATTTGTAATTCACTTAAATTCATAAGGAGATATTTGCAAGCCTGATGTGCAAAACAAGACATTTTCCAACTTTTTTAGCAAAATAACTTTATAACAATAAATCAGAAATATTTTTAAAGGCATTGACATGATTATTAAACAATTTATTAAGATATTGATAGGTTTTTAGCGATTTTCTCAAAACTGCGTAGGTATCAAATATCTGCTTTTATAGCTAGAAGTTGGAAAGGCTTCTGCAAGTTCTCCCATTTTATACACATAAATTGACAGGTTTGCGGCGGATCTAACCGAAGTGGACGTGATACATTGGCGTACAAAATTATTTTATAGATGTTAATAATAATGTCGAGTAAATAGTTTAAGAAATTGTGAATAGCTGTTGAAATTTTGTAAAAATATGATTTGAATATTATAATACATGTTTAATAATTATTTATAGTCCATAAATATATGCGATTGTCAGGTGCTTCCGGTAATAATTTAAAATTACTTATTCTATGAAACGACACTGGCAAACAAACATTACTGCGAAATTCTCGAAGTCGTCCGACGTGGTTTGACGTTTACCCCCTTTCTACATACCAAAAGCCTTTCCAACTTCTACTTGTGCTATGCATCTAAAAGCTTCAAATATAAAATATAAAAATGATTATTTGGTAGGCTGCATTGTTTATCATAATGCATAATGTATGTATTGTAGTATAACGAAGGTTGTGGCAAAATACATTGAAGTTCTTCTTTTTTAACTTTGTTACAATATTTTCCCTTAGTTGTGTGAAATCCTTGAGATTTCTGCCCTTACTAGTAAAAATAAAATGTAAAAAACTGCATTATCACGTAATAATTAATTATTGTACTCATTATAATTTAAAAATCATTACAAAATCCAATCAGTGGACTTATACGAGTATACATTTTCCACAGCAAACAAGCCCCATCAATTAGAAACCAGATAGAAGTTGAACGGTACTTTCGAAACTCCCACCTTACAGACAGGATTTGAAAGTTATGTCGCGGAGTTAACCGAAGTGAACTCGGCACATTGGCGTAGAAAATTATTTTATAGATTCTAATAACAATTTCGTATATTCATATTTATAGTTTTATAAATTATGAATAGCTGTCGAAATTATTTAGAATTATGATTTGGGATATTACAATGATTGTTAAAATAGTTAAATACAAACGACTGCCCAATTCCGACGGTAACGATTAAAAATTATTGATATTATTTTAATTCTACGATTCGACACTGGCGGACAAACATAATAGCGAAATTATTGAAGTCGTCAGACGGGCTTCAACCATAAGTATAGAAAAAATACAGAGAGAACTGTTTGCATAAATTACATGCTCTTACACCCTATTGACATAGCTAGATAAAAAAATTATTTTTCATTAAAGCAATATTTAGTGATTATGTAAAAAATCACAATTACAAGATTAAGTTTTTTAAAAAAATACTAACAGTAAGATTTTCATATAAAAATGTTCATAGTGTCCCTTGGCTTCGATCCAATTCTTACCCGAGTTGCAGCTCCGCAACGATACCCTATGTGTATGGACACTATACATGTACCCCAATTTACCGAATCAGCAAACAACTTACTTTGGTAAATTAAAGAACGCCACATTGGGGGTTGTTAAATTTATTCATGTGGCATGTGCTCCGACTT